CTTTAACTTTGCCTACTGCCCTGTCTCTCTCACACCTGAAGAAGGCTCCACGGTCGAAACGTTGTGTTCTCTTTCTTCTTTTTTTCAATATGGAATAAACCTATTACTTGTTCCTTTACACACTTCATGATTGGAAGCCACTAACTCAGTAGACACATTTTTATGGTTATAAACATATATTACCTCAGACAATTAATTTTTTTACAAAGTGTTAAAGAAGATTGAGTTCAACTGAAAACAAAGTTGGTTAAAAATTATGTCTATCTTTTATGAAATATTAGAATTGCATTAATCCAAAGTAAATTGACTTTGCATAAAAACATCCAATAATATTAATAACATTGCTGTTTAAGCAAACTATAATAAAAAGGAAGAGAAGATTTGTTGTTTGGGGATTGCACACTACTTTTCTGTTCCTAGGGACTCTTAGTTGTAGAGTGCCGTAGGACAGCAGTTTCCATACCTTCTCTCCCTTTGCACCAGACTCTCCAGGCAGCCCTGGAAATCCTTGTGGTCCCTTTTCACCCTGGATGGAGAAAAAATACCAGGATTTTATTTTTTAGACATACACCTAAGGCTTTAGTTAGACTTAAATGGAAAGATTAGGTATAAGTAGCTTGCTTAAACATCACAACAAAATTGAAAAGGTTTGAAATTGAAATTGAAAACAACTGTGATGATGACTGAAAGACTTGTTCAAGCACATCCAGGGACATAAACTTTGCTTGCATAACACAAACTCAAAGTAGTTATTGGCAGTCTCTCAGTCCATGGTCTTTGTTTAACTGGCTACAGAAATGTAGCAAACATTTTGGCAATTGAAGAACAAAACCAGGAATTTACGTCTGCCAGTTCTATATTTCAATTGTGTTTACTGTACAGCATGTGACACATCAGGTTTTAGAGCTACAAAGCACAACTAGAGAATTCTACTACTCTACATGGGCAGAAGAAGTCTCCAGGAAATGTTATTTGATATAATAGTTAGTGCCAAATTATTTATTCCAAATAATTTGTGTTTCAACTAACTTTTATTTTCAAATTATATTATTGAAAGGCCTGTCTTTCAGATGCCCATTGAGGAGCAACAAGTAAACACAACAAAAGCATCTGGAAGAAAACAACCTGAATAACAATGAATAAATGGTATTAGATTTTTTTTATTTTACCTTCAGTTCTCTATTTTCAAATTTGTTGTCCTTATCCTAATGGCATTTTCAATAAAAGCAAATTCACATTTTAATCATCAAACTCCATAGTTGACGGGGGAAGAATTGTGAATATCTTAATTCTTCTTCAAAGTGGGCTTTTAAGAGCAAGCACTATTAATTAACATTTGAAAAAACAGATAATTTAAATCTCACCTCTGGAATAACTAAATGCATTTAGTGAGATTTAGTGAATTTATATAGCCTGGAAGTGGCGTGAATATTATTCAGATTGCAATTAATTAGAACTTCCCTTAGAAACTAATTAACCATTTCATCAAAAGAGACAGAAGATCTTGAAAAAATAAATAAGGAATTCTAAAAAATAGATCTGTGCAACTACCAGTAGTTAACTAATATTAGCAATGATTGCTTTTGAATGTACTTGATATTCGTGGGTGTTCAGAGAAAGAGTGGATTGTGAAAGTAGTTAAATACTCTGTGAAGACACACAACACCACTGTAAAATAACCACATTTTAGATTTATAATGAGTTTCAAGCATTCTTCTCAAAATACGAGACGTTAGAGGGATATCACAAAGTAGTCTTTGTGTCTTTCATAGACTTCCTCTAACAATTCCAATCTGAAATGTAGTATAACAAGTATAAATAATTTTCATTATCCATGATTATCCATTGTTTCAGCCATTCAAAAGACCCAGTTGGCATTATGAATGTTTGAATAATACTTACTGGTGTCCCATCTTTTCCAGGAATTCCCTAAAAGACAAGGAATGTTACATTTTAACTGTGACATTAAGATACAGTACACAAAAGCAAACACAAAGATCTTTACTCATTTAACTACATATAACCCCCTACAGAAGAACATGTGTTGTTGGAAGGAGATGTGTGTAAACACAATCTTCTCTGTGATTACAAGTGGATGTAATCACTGAATGTTAGCTACATCCCCTGTCTCATGTGTATGCAAGGGATGTACTGTATCACATGTTTGCTGCAGGGTCCACAAAATCATTTGTTACCAACATTGTGCACAGCAAGCTAAATGATACCTTTGGTGAACTACAGTAATATACAGTATATATGCATTACTGGGCATGACAATCACCATGTCTCACGCTGCTGGGTTCCTAGTTATTATCCTATTGAAAAACAAATGAATGCCTCAACTATCCACAGCTTCAACCATTGAGCCTCAGGTTCCTGCCAGCCACAACAATCAGCTGATCTAACTGCCTTTGGCAAGCATGCACCTCTGAAAAGCAATGGCAGTGTACATTGTGGAAATTTTCACAAGCATAAGCAACCCACCAAAATGTTACAGAGCATTCTGGTAACTATTTTTTTCTTTGTAAAAATGTCATCATACAGTAGTTTCAGCTGGATGTCACTCAGTAATGTAGCACTCCTTGTAGCATAATCTGTGAGCTCTTGGAAAGCACACAGCCTGACTTTGTAACATTGTAACAATACACCATGAAACACAACAGCTTTGTCATGTTAGTACTCTCATTAGGTTATTCTGAAGCCTAGAGCTAACATGGAGTTTGAATTCTCCCCAAAATTGGGACCAAAACAAATTGAATTGCTAAACCTCAACAAAAAAAGATTTTGCAAAACGAGTGAAGAGTGAAGTAGTGTTATAAGAAATGTTGCATTTATTTAAAAAGGAACTAATATTGTATCACTCATTTTCATGATGATTCAGTTTGAGAATTTACTGTTGAAAGAAAAATGCCCAAAAATATTTCTAAAATGTTATCTCATTAAATTACTGCAATATCATATCATTATTCATGTGTATTGTTATCTCCCTGTGGTTTATAAAAATAACCTGTTAGATAATAAAACGGAGAGTTTAGAGTAGTACATGCAAAGCTCAACAATGTTACTATTGCTAACAGGTCTGTTCATTTCCAAACAGAGTAAAAGCAAGTCTGAAGCATTATTTAGCTAACAAAACATTCCTAGTGACCAGGCCCCTATATTACAGGACTGAATGAACCTGCTAGGGAAAACTGACACCATCTTCCTAAGCTGCAATTTTTGTTGCGGATAGCCTGAGATGACAAATGAAAGTGTTGCTGTTTTACTGTGAAAGCCCCACAATAACAGCAGCAGACCTGGCCTGACATAACAGAGAGAAACATATTTTATTAGTTGTGTGATTAAATCAATTGCCAAATTGGATTTTTGATTAAACAATTAAGAAATCAATTTAGTTTTTTCAAGTGTGATTAAAAGAGTTGTTTCATGTGCCAAAGAAAAGTTTATTAGCAAATGAGAGTGCATCAGTAGACAAAAATATATCAAGGTTATGTTACTTACTGTACATTCACCTCCCTCACATTATATGTACAATATCTGTCACCAGTTTAGTAACTGCTGGAGGGTTCATTTACATCAGAGTTCAGAAATGGATCACTCTGGTAAAAATTCTGTTCTTGTTTAAAGGAGATCATGACAAAAGGACATACTGGCTGGCCATCCTTTCCAGGGGGACCCGCTGTCCCTCGTAGTCCTGGTGGCCCCCGGGGTCCTGGCTGGCCTTCAGCAGTTCTAGTCTCCCCTGGGGGCCCAGGAGGACCAGGGGGCCCACGTGGGCCAGGGTCACCCCGCTCCCCTTTTTGACTATAGCTTGAAGAACCCTAGGTGAAAAACACAGCAAAATAAGGAAAAATGAAATACATTTGTAAAGGTGCCTGCTGCCTTGTATTGGCCTTGTTCATTGTACGTCCCATGATGACTGTATGGGTTATAAGAGTCATGGTGTTATCTCTGTGAAGTATCCCAGTTCTTTCAATTTTGTTTTTTACACTGAAGAACTCTGAATCACAGCACGATAATATGCTGCAATGAGACTTTGAACTGAAGAATTGCAGCATTTAGTTGAATGTTAAGATATCTGTTCTAATACCAAGACTACACTAATTATACTTAGCACTGCCATTCTACAAAATAATTATTTAATCATTCTCTCTCATTGAATTATTTTATAAAAACTGTTTGGGAGAATGTTAGCATTCATATTATCACAACTCAAACTTATTCTGTATTTGTTTTAAATATTAAAATCCACATATCAAACATCAAACATTAAAATTATGTCCAACGATATAATAACTGTCTATGGTTGAACTGCATAACAAGCAGATAAGCAGTAAGGGATCAAGCTGTTAAGAGACTAGAACCATTCACTTCTGGTGCCTATATGTGTATGTTAATGTATGGGCAAAATAATCTGAAAGAAACATTGGCTAATAATCCAGAGCTATCTATCTGGACACCTGCTCTGGAGATCTACTGACATGGCTCCCGCAGGTTTCAAATTTACTGTACAGTGTCACCTGTACATGAGAAACTCACACTCTCCAGTCTTTCAGCGGGGTATGATTCCACTCCAAGCTCGCTGTCTCCCCTGGATTGATCAGTAATCGAGCTAGATTCTGCAAATACAAAAAAATAAACAATTAAAAAAACTTTTTGGATTTGTGGCCCACAATGCTATCAAATCAAATCAAATCAAATCAAATCAAAGTTTATTTATCAAATGCACAACAATACGGCGTGCAGCAGTAATTGCTGGCAATGAAATGTCTTTTTCTGCGAGCACACAAAATTTACAAGAATCACAAAAATCACAAAAACACAAAAATCACAAAAATTCACAAACACCACAAAATTGAGGTTACATTTTTTAAATTGAATAAAACTCAATGTGAGTAGAGCTGTTATGTGCCCATGGTGTACGCAACATATACATGTAGTGCAGTTATGTTGAATATAGTGAGAATTGTGTGTCCATGTAGCCATTACAGGTAATTTGCTAAGGAGCTACAGGTTGGCTATCTAGCAGTCTTATTGCCTGGAGGTAGAAGCTGTTCTGTAATCTGTTGGACCTGGACCGAATGCTTTGGTACCGTTTACCAGACGGTAGAGGGAAAACAGTTTGTGACTGGGATGACTGGGGTCCTTGAGAATGGACCTGGCTTTCACTGCCTTTGTATGCACCGCTAACAGAACACAGGAACAGTGTTACTCCCTAAAGATGGGAAAGACTGGACTGGAATAACAAATTATTTCACACAGCCTCTTTGGTAGTGGTTGAGTGCTGCTGAGTCGGTATCAACTCATGGCAAGCCTATGGACAGTTCTACCGTCACTATCCATAGAGTTTTCATGGCAAGATATGGAAGTAGATTGCAAGGCCTTTCTTCCATGCAGATACCACCAACACCACCTCCCCATACTGCTGCTGCCCGGTATGGCTTATTAGAGTACCTTGCACCTGACATGGGACACTAACCCCCTCCCATGAGATTATGAGTCTCATGCTCTGCCAACAGAGCTAGTCAGGGGATAGAGTCTCTTTAGGACAATGTTTATGCTGCACTTTCTGTAACAACTAATAAATTAGTATAAAGAAACAAAAAGTTAAAAAAAAACAGATTTTTTTGGAATGTATAAAGCCTGGAAAGCATCTCTCCCAACTTGCACTAGGTTTAAGTTATAGAAAATGTCTGTACAGCATTCTGAGATTTTGTCAAATCAATACTTTTTTATTGGTTAAATGACAATTGAAAGAAAACCTGCCAGATGTAAATTTACATGTTTACACTGGTTTATCTCATGGAAATTGCAACTACTTTCCATAGTGTATACACTTTTGCATTAAATTTGTTGCATATGGTAACCTAATGATGACAACAATCATTAGAAAATAACTGCAATTAATATTTGCCTCAAGCTTCATGTTTACTTATAATTTAAGAATTATGAATTTTAAGATGCATGCACAGCATGCCACTTCCCTTAACAAGCACTAATTCTCCAGTAAGGCGCTCTGACGAATGACAATATGTGAGATATGGAGTAGAAAATGATTGGTGATTCCAAATGACCTAAACAAAATTATAAAACCCATATGAAGTGCTTCCACTAATGTACTCTCCTTTTCTTTAATTAAAGCCATTTTGATTCCAAGTGTGGTTCTAAGCAGTTGTGCATTTGAGAGAAAGAGCCTGCGCAAAGCATTTTGTTTCAGGTTCACAAACTTCATGCTTGCAGAATTTTCTTGGTAGAGAACATTTGAAAAGGGTAGAAAAAAAAATTGATCTCTTTATTCTAGATTTCAAGTTTTTAATTTAATTGAGATCCTGAGTGAAAATGATGCAAGGAGATCCTACCCCTCTCTTCTGCTAGCACAACATTTGGTGTGTGGGCCTCCTCCACAGCCTCTTCTACCAGGTTCCCGGAGTAATTATCAGTGTCTTCACTGGATTCTGTAGGAGGGGCCGGCACAGGCCTACCCAGAGAGCCTTCAGGCTGTGGGCAAGAACAGAAGCAGGATTCTATTTACACAGGCAATTTATTTTTACATCATAATATCTAATATGTGCTCTTCCAAAAGGGCACAACCAGAATAGACACTTGCCTGAGCGCAGGTTCAGTTCTATGATCTAGTGGTCCATACCTGGGTCATGTCAATAGCTAAATGACAGTGATTCCCTGAGGGTAGGGTGGAAATAGTAGGCCAGGTAGAGATCTTTGCAAAATCCAGTGACACTACCTCACAGTCTCCTTCGGTGGTGGAGTTTGTACCATTCGCCAAGAGATGAGAAACACTAAACTGGCAATTCCAAAATCATATAGTAAAAAAAGGCAAATCCAGATCTTTCATAACTGGAAACAGCTGCATGTCAGTTGCTATTGTTATGTATGTTATGTTATTGTCTGTAGTTTTATGCTTAGCATTGTCACTGTTTTGTTAAGTGTCCAAATTTGTTTTAAAGGTGTAAAAATGTAATGTATATAAGAGGTTGCAGGAGGTCAGACACTGTGTGAGTTCATTCTCATTGCGCCCATGATGACAGACCATCACCAGTGAAGCCACCAGCACAGAATGTCACCATGGCCAGGTAGCTTAGGGACACATGACATAAAGCTGTTAGGAAGTCCCCCCAGTGGGTTTATTGGAATTGTAGTTCCTATAACTAACACATTGTCTGTGAGCTATCATAGCCATTTTCTTTGCCTGGCCCCCCACAACTGATGGTAATAAATCTGTGCGTCCTGGCAGCAGTTTAAACTAGTAGCTTCTGCCTGCTATGGGGAAGCATTAAGATGGGGTTGCACATATCCCTAATAAATATCTAGATTCTCCAAATGTGAGTTAAAAAATAGTACTGCCACATGCCTTTTTTTCCCAGATTAATGAACATTTTCAAATGTTTTTGTGTGAAATAAATCCATGAACAATGCATCTTTTTTATACTCTCTTTAAACACTTGGTGAAGATTTAACTGGCAAGTTAAATTGTAACAGCCTGAAAATAGATCTAGTTTTAGTTTCTTGACTATTTTGTTTTGCAACTCCAAATATAGCTGACACCCTAAATCTTTAGAATGTACAAATATAACCTATATTCCTGAGGTCACCATCTATCTTATCAATACCTGTGACATCAGTCTTCCTTAAGTAATGTGTTGATTTTCATAGATGTCTTTCACGTGAAAGTTTTAACTAATTGAATGTATTAAATATTTTTAGAAGTACAAATTAGACCTTTAAGTACAAATGAACATTTTTTAGTTTCGATTTTTACCTACATCTGAGAAGAATGTTTTAATTTTGGAAAATAAGAAATTTAACATTAATCTAGAAAAGAAAGAAGCATGGTGCCTGGAGTGCTGTACAGTAATGTAATTGGACATTATTTTAGGAGTACCTTATTTTGGACATCTGAAATAAAGAAACTCTGGTGGAAATGCTTTGTACTAAGAAACAGCTTTTTCCTGGCAGGGTCTGCGACAACCTGGAACACTCAAGACTAGAGGCAATGGGCACAAGGGATCCTCTTGGAGGGGGTGCCATTCAAGTGCAGTGTGCATCCAGAGAAAAAAGCACACAAGCAAAGGTTGGATATAAAAACTCCACACTGCCCTATCTCTTCAAAGTCATGTCCTTGAACATTTGAAAACATTTTGCACCACAGAAGTATACACAGCAGGGGGCAGTGTGGACTTTTTCAAAAGTGATCTGAGAAGCTGTGCAGAACAGTGGTTCTTACGTTCCCAGATTGCCACTGCCTTGAGGGTGGTCTTTTTGAGCAAGCTGGAGGCTCTTCCTTAATAATTACTGTGTTAATTTTGTGGAGGCCAAGCAGGTTTAGCACAGACCGAAGACTGTAGGTGTGGTTATGAGTGTGGTCAGACAAACAAAAGGATAAGACCTAAGCTCCTGTTCTGTGCACGTACTATGAATCTGTAAGTACCGCTGTTATGGGAGATGCATCTCATTCCATTCAACTGATGAGATCAGTTTAGTTATAAACATTTCAAGTGAGGAAGTGAGAGATAAGTGGAAACAATGCTTCAAACTCATCTGCATAATAAACTGTTGTAAATAATACATGAAAACGGATACACGAAAAAGATTTGTTTGGACTGCTGATGGGATGTAGTAATGTAGCCTGAGAAATGTAAAAACATATTAAAAACATACACAAAATTCAAGATTTGGCAAACACCTGGTAGTCAGATAAGTTCAGAGTTCTTCATGCAAGTAGCAAAACAACTATAAACTTAAGATGGGAAACTCCAAGCTAGATTAAGCTATCTGGGAAAAAACACAGATGTTTCTTTTTGACAATCTTCTCTAGAAAATGTGGAGATGTGGAAAACCACTTCTTAAACTTCTAACAAATTATTGGTTATTAGAACATAAACCCAATGACTTCTTTAGAATTAAAACTGAAACATGAAACAAGAGGACACAGGAGGAAACTATGCCTTTAAAACTAATCTGAGAACAACAGACACTTTTTTGCAAGAAAGTTGCGGGAGTCTGGAAAAGCTACCCAACAATGTTATTGTTTAAAATGTGATACCCTGGCAACTTCAAAGAAATTGTCTCAGAACAAATTTCTGCTAGCAATCAAAGAAGTACAGTATGATAGGTTACATATCTTTCTTCTGCATATATGTATATATAACATCAGCTAAACCTATCAAAATGTAATTTTACTTGTCACTGGCTTTCTAAAGTTAGATGAACCAAACTTGTTATGTTTTTATAGTAAAAGCAAGACCCATAAACTGAAATTTGTGGATTTCACAAATCAGAATACTGTATGTTTTACATACATTAATTATTTATTGTTATTTAAGATATATGTACAAAGCCTTTTTCTCCAAGCATCTGCTCTTCTGCTTTCCTTATCAAAAGAGATACAATGTAATCTGTGAATCAGATACATGGAAAAAACCTCAGCATCTCATCAAAAAGACCCAAACTCATTTCAAGTATGTTGTCAAAAACTCCAGCCCTTTTTAGTAAAGCTCATCCGTAAAAAACACCAGATCAAGTCACAGGGTATAGACACTTTCAGTTTTTTGCATACATTTTCACTTGGTAAAATGAAAGCAAATGTTCACTCTCAATGATTAATTTTAAATTGCATTTCAAGTTGCCAAGTTAATTAATGGCCTTTATCATGTAAATGTTCCACTTATAAAGCCTGAATGCTAGACAACTATAATGAGAAATTGAAGGCTCATTAGTGTGTTCCATAATGAATTCTTATCAGTGTTTGCCAGCATCTTTTGATTGTATGAAAAAGTTTTAAAAGGGGAAACAAATACATTTAAGGTTTTGTGTGCTTGCATTAGACATTTCTTTGAGTATTTAAAATAATTTTGCAATAAGCTTTTGAGACTTTCCAAAAACTGACAACAATGTGCTTTTGTGTCCAATACAAACAGAATTTGTAAAGCAAAGATGAGAAAAAGTCCTGTATCTGCAGAATAACTCAGTGAATAAACTGGGAATTCTCCTTCAAAACCAACTGTAAATGTCAGTTGCTTAGGAATGTGAATTTTACAGGATTCATTGTTTATACTTCTGAATATTGCCTACTGTATTTATATATATAAAGCAGATGTGACATGAGATCTTTGGTAAGTTTTACTATTGAATGCTGTATGTATCCGTAGTCTCTCTGTAGTATCTGCAAAGAAATTCCTAAACATTTCATTATAATATTGCTCTGATTCAATGTGTAATTGTATCAAGAAATACATTTAAATTGTCATAAGAATCTTTTTAAGAAAATCAACAGTTTTAGCTGAACATACAAATGATCTTTTAAATAACTTGCTATATGAAACGAACTACTAATTAAAGATAAGAAGCCACACAGTGACTTAATTTAAAATGCAGTGCCCTCCAAAAGTATTGGGACAGAAGTCTAAACTTTGATTTTCAAATATCACTAAAATAATTATTTCTAAAGAAAAAACAACTTTCATATATCTACTAGTGACTCCCAAGTATAATATTTTTAATAACATCAATTGAATTCTACCCTCAATTAAACAAATGAATAATGTTGATTTTTTTTATTTTGGAGGAGCAAAAGTATGGGAGCAGACATTGCCAGACAGACTATTGGTCAGGTGTTTGCTGTTGAATACTTCAAAAATAGATGTGAACATCCTATCAGCCTGCCTTACATTGACTTAACTATGGTTTAGAGACCATAGTTGAAGGTCAAAATGAAATAAAAGAACTACCTGTTAAAGAAAAACAGACAATAAAGCTGAAGAAGAAATTAATTGAAAGAAAAATTACAATGAAACAACAGAACATAAATAGATCATACTAAAATCAATACTTTGGGAACATACTATCAGAGAAAGAAATGACAAGTAAGTAAATGTGTTAGTAGGCTAAAAAACATCTACAGATGAAAACAGATAAATTGTAACAAAATCCACAACTGACTGAGACAGCAAAAGACTGAGACAGCAAGGCTACAAAAAGGCTACATTGCAAAATGTTAGTCTCTCATCTGCAACAAGAACAAAAAAGGCCAGATCTGAATATGATTAATGGAACTGAGCCAGGAGAGTTTTGAAATAAAATTTTATGAACAGACAACAGCAAAATGAACATTTATCAAAATGATGGGAAGGTTAAAGTGCAGATAAAGAAAGGAAGTGTACTGTGAAGCATGGACATGCCAGGCTACCTCTGCAACTGGCTCGCTGGTCTTTATTGATGAAGTAACTGATAATGACAGGGGCAGATTGAATTGATAGGTTTACAGAAAAACACTTAGTCTGCTTTTTGCTCATGTATAAGCAAATGCTTTTATACTTTTTGGGCAGAGCTTGCACATGCACAATGATGTGACAATGGCCCAAAACACATGACCAGCTCTATCAAGATATTCTTCAAGAGAAAGAAGAAAGCATTTAAGACGGGCCAAATCAACCCCAAATTTAATCAATTTAATTATGCATTTTCATTGATGAAGAGAAACAACATCCAGTCAGAACATCCCAAGAATAAGCAAGCACACAAAGTGGCTGCAGCAATGGATTGGCAAAAATTATTCCACAATCTCTTGCAAGTTCACGCACACAAAAACAGGTTTTGGCTTTGCTGTCCCTATAATTTTGGAGGGCACTATAATTCGTTCACTTGTGCACTTCTGGGGTGTCTTACTGTTTCATCTGGAGTGTCTTACTGTTTCTTTTGGCCTATACTCACCGGAAGCGGACTGTATTCTCTCTCGTTAACCTGCTTTTTCACTTCATCCACAGTGTCTCCATCCAAAAGAGCATCATCGCCGCTTCCAGAGGCCTGAATTAAAACAATTAATCAGTCCAGGTACAGCCTTCATTCAGGCCCAACACACACACACAGTTGTTCTAATTATATACATGCTGCAATCATCATGCAAAATGATGATTATATACATGCTCAATAATTGTGTTTTTAATGGCAAATTCTGAAATGAAGCACAATTCAAAAATGACTTCTAGCGACGTAATACAATACATAATGTGCCCCTTCCATACAAAAACCACACTGCTGAAACACTGTACTGGATTTTACCACTAGAGGGAGAACAGGTTCCAGACGTGAGCAGGAAACAGTTTGGCAGTCTTGTCCATTAAAAAAAAAACTAAACTGGTCCATACAGTATATACAGCATTCCCAGCTACGTTTTAAGGTTAGTGTTTGGGTCCTTAGAGTGTTAAGATCAACACTGAGATGAGCAAAAAAGATAGGGCTTAGTTAAAGTTGGAGCACAGAGATGCACCCCAGGACAAAACAGAATTTTTTTAAACACACAAAGGAAGACCTGAGAGGGTGGACTCATTTGTTTAACAGTTCAGTACATTTAAAGTAATATTAGTTTGCACAATACTCACATAAGGGTCATCCTCTTCACACTGCTCTTCTGCAGCTCTGGGGTCAGGTTTAATAAGCAGCTGCTGGATTGAGCCCTGGACACAAGAGGACAGTTTTGTTAAAGGCCAGAAACACCACAGACTGAAGTGCAATGCATAATCTGGGGTTAAATCTTCTGAACGTTTTGAAAACTTTTAAATCTGTTTTTTATCCTCCAGCATTCGTTACTTTGCAAATCTCCAAATAATATCTTATCAAAATGCCAAAAGCTGTTTCTGCAGAAATGCATACTCTAACTGTTACATGCACACTCTAACTGTTACTCTTACAATAACTTTAAAAGCATTATACATTTGAAAATCATAATTTAATAATTTATTATATTTATCATTTTTCAGAACATTTATCATTTTTTATTATATTTTTCATTTTTCATGAAAAAGTCTCACACTTTCTATCCCAAGTGTAAAGAGTTCTGGGTTTTTAAAATGAGACTCTGATACCATTGTAGCAGTTTGCTTAAGAACTCAAAAGGCTATAATGTCCTATCACAGAGTAGCAGACTCCAGGTATGAACTCAGAAATGTTCTTAAAATGTTTTTCTATTATATATGAAATGAAAAGAGGAAAAGAGGGTTTCCTGTAGGGCATTACATGATGCATTTTCATCGCTAGGCTTCTACAAACATTTGTGAGAAATGCGATAAGGCATGTGCATTCATTCATTAAGGCATCTTTGACCAAATAAAAAAATATTATAGTGACATAGTCAGGGAAATTTATAAGCATCAATGACAAATCTAAGGCATATCCTTCAGAATACATTTATTTTGGTTCCTAAAAAATAAAAAGAAGGAGTAGATATCTGCATGGATACATGCATGTTTATGTGGCCAAATGCATGGTTATATTAATGTACTTTAATTAATCCACTTCCCAGAAAAAGGCTTAATGGGGCATGTAATTTTATCTCAACAGAGACACTGTTCTCAGGATGCCTGATAATAAAGTTTTGGATCACATTAAAAACCAGGGATCCTGGCAGAACTGCTTGCTTTTTTCCTAGTGGGGGAATAGAACTCCTCATTTCTACATTTGGAAATGATGTCTATGGACCGCATCTTTTGTTTAGGTTGAATTTACTCTTAATAACTCCTGACTTAAGCTGACTATCTGCAGAGTAACATGAGGCGGGTCTATATTTCCATTCACTTCTCTTGGTTTTCTCTTTGTCTGAGGTTGGATGTGTAGAACTAAACCGAGCTAAAGTGCACCAGGGAAAAATAAAATCATTGTTAAGACCTAAGCAACTGTATTGTATCCGGTTGTTTTATCCAGACTTTTTACAAATACAATTGGAAATGACAATATCCAAAAAAGGAGTTTGACATTTTATACCCATCAGAATTGTTATGTTAAATAATTATTAAAAATAAATGCTACAATTGCATGAGTATGGTAATTAGGTCAAGTAAAGCAGAACAGCCAGCAGCCATATCACTCTGCAACTCACAACTGGCAACCCACTGAAACTAAGCAGGTGTGAGCCTGGTCAGTACCTGGATGGGAAAACTCCTGAGAAAAACTAAGGTTGCTGCTGGAAGAGGTGTTAGTGGGGCCAGCAGGGGGTGTTCCCCCCACGGTCCATGTGGGTTCTAATGCCCCAGTATAGTTATGTGAACATTATATTGTAAATAGGCGCCGTCCTTTGGATGAGACATAAAACAGAGGTCCTGACTCTCTGTGGTCATTAAAAATTAAAAAAACTCAAAAAGAGTAGGGGTGTAACCCTGGCGTCCTGGCCTAATTTCCCATTGGCCCTTACCAATCATGGCCTCCTAATAATCCCAATCTATGAATTGGCTTCATTACTCTGCTCTCCTCCCCACTGATAGCTGATGTGTGGTGAGTGTTCTGGCGCACCAGGTGGAGCTGCACATTGGTGGTGGTGGAGGGGAGTCCCCATTACCTGTAAAGCGCTTTGAGTGAAGTATCCAGAAAAGCACTATATAAGTGTGAGCAATTGTTAAATTAATTATAAAGTCAGGCAAAAGGTGCCTTGTCCAGTCAAGCCAACCAATAACTGTTGTCAAGAGCAGAACAAAACTGTAAATTATCAGCTAACACAGTCAAGGAGGTTGTGAAGCAGTACTTCATTCAGGAAAGCAGAAGATGTCATCCATTTGTCTATTATCTGTTTCATCTAATTTAGGGTGACGGGGGGGCCACAGCCCATCCCAGCATTACGGAAACACACTCACATCAGGGCCAATTTTTCCAGAAGCCAAGTAACCTACCAGTATGTTTTTGGACTGTGGGATGAAAACAGAGTAAAAGTATTAAGTTTTGTAACTTTTTTAACTAGTAAAATAAGTAATTTTACTAAATCAGAAAGGAAAAGGTAGAATGTAAGACAATGTAAAAAGGTTCAAACAAAGGGGATGATTACAGGCCCAGGTATATGGGGCTGATTAAAGTTTCTATTCTATGCCCAGCGACTAACCAAACCCCTCTGCTCCTTTGTGAAAAAAGGCTCCATGGAGCTCCCCAGCTCTCACATACTGTACATTCACAAGTTTAAAGGAACGTCATAATCTGGAGGATTAAAAAAATGAATCTGAAGCGAGAATGTCACCTTTGCCAGCAAGTCATTTCCCCATCAGCTGCACAGCGCAGATAGGAAGTGCTTTAAAACTGAGAAGAGGAGGCACTGTTGTTGAAGCTGAGGCCCTGGCTCCTTTTTAACACCAGCAATACAGATTTATCATCTAATCTCAGAAGCTCAGCAAAACTGGGACTGGCCAGTTCTGGGATAGGTCAAACTCCAAGGAAAACCAGTTTTGTGTTAGAAGTGGTGCTAGTGGACCAATAGTGGACACTCTTCCCTCAGGACCATCTCCAAACAAATGTTATCAGTCATGACAAGGGACTATGAGTTGAAAGAGGCGTCATGCTTCAGATGAGATGTTAATCTCAGGTCCTGGCTATCTGGTTAAGATCCCGTGCTTTCATCCAGGATAAAAAGAATTATACACATGGAAGCAATTATTATAATTTACTTGTTCAGCTTCCTGTGACCTGTTTTTCAGAAGCAAGTTTAATTTGAATAGTTAACTACCAAACATTGTACAGCTCTGGACTAAAGGACTTCTCAACTAATTTCTGAAAAATTAATTTGTATTCTCTGCTTAATCTCACAAATCTCATCCTTGAAACCATACAACCAGGCATACTGAACTTGCTTGTATTAAAATGTAATTACCAACCTGGATCACTTATCAAGCTAAAAAGTTGTCAGAAACACAGCACTCACAACAATGTTTTGTTATGTTCTGTTCACAAAGAATACAGAATAGATGTAAGATGGAACAATTACAGAATCAAGAATATCAAATAACATCTGAATTATTTAGAATTAGAACTGGTTAGACTACGCATTTGTATTTCTGATTCTATAAAATTTGAATGACTCTTAAATAGGAACACCAACAGGAAATGACACAGAATGCAAACTATGCAATACATAACAAGAAAGGAATATATAGATATAGATTATATACACTACAATACATGCTTTTTTAAAAAACTTTGAAAGTTAAAATTCCTACCCCCTTAACTGGATGTTGAAAATCAGCTAAAATCAACTACAAATAAACAATTGTTTACTTAACAGTTGTCTTAGTACTGCAGCAAGCTTGTCTGTGTTTTGTGCAACCATCTGTCCTTGAGGGTTGCATGAATCCCTAGAGGTCTATAAACTCAAACTTGGCCTGGACTGGTAAACAAAGTAAACAATACAACAACACCCACACAACTCACTGTCCCATGACATTAACGTTACAGCTGCATTCTTTCAAAGTCATGTAATTCACTCACAGGACTGTGCTAAGAGAGTTGTGATGCTGTGCCCATTTCTGATTAATTAGATACAGAACTCAGTTGCTTAGATATTAACTAAAACTAAAATAAATGAGCATATATCTCTTATTCTAGTTTTCTCTCAGTGGCTTCCTTCAGAATAAAATTTAAATTTCTACTGCTTACCTTTAAACTACAAATGAGACTCTGAACACTAGGAGACCATGTTTTTGGTTCTGTATTTCCAAAACTGTGGAATGATTCTCAGCCCTCTTCCAGATCTCAGATCCCAGTCAGTTTAAATCATGTCCTTTAAAATCTCTAATTTATTATTTAATCTACTGCATTCATTTGTGTATATTTTTTTTATTTTAAAGCAACTTCTGATGATGAAATCATGAAACGTTCTGTATAGAATAAACATTATTACTGTTGTTATTATTATTTATTTATGAGTTCTTAAAAAGAAAGTTGTGATATTTTATTTTTTATGAATAAATACTCTCTGGAACCAGAGACAGTTTTACAAAAAAATTGTTCTTCAAAACCACATAAAGTAGTTATCTTTATGGAGCTAATTAAAGGTGAAACAATATTTCCAATACAAACATTTTACCTCTTGGCAAAACTCTGCCTCTGCTCGTTAAAGCTTTTTCCATTCCTCAGATTGCAGACACTAATGAGCTCAGCGTATTTTTTGCTAAGAAGTGAACATGTTGCGATTTCCCTCAGTACTTTTACAATCATGAGTGTGTGAGGTCTGCTACTGTCCTTTCAAGATACTGGATGTATTTTTTCTTGACAACAGCATCCAGACCCTTGCTACACTAGAACATTTCTTAGTCCCCCTGTCCAACAACAGCTGCTGAGTTTCCAATTTGAAGTGACAGTCATGATTGAGTGTCACCACAGGAGTGAGGAGGGCAGATAAATAGAGGAAAAATGACTAAGAAGAACAGACAGAATGATGTATTTGAAATTCTAGAAAATATTAAATCTAGAGTTAAATAAACAGTGATTACATGTTAGAAATGTTGAAATTTCATCATGGAAAATAAATTGAGAACAAGGGTCTTTAAATGAGTAACATTTGTAAAAATGCATTCTCTTGTTTCTTTACATGTTACTGTTAATGACTGAAATTATTTTCTCTCCAATTAGCCAAAAACACTGAGCCAAATAATTTCCATTTAGTCTGCCAAATGGTAGTGGTCACTCTGCTGTCTTTTCCATCTAGTTGTTCAACAGTGCACAAATTGTTGTTAGTATAGTTTACTGTGAGAAGACCGAAGACATTAAGTAAGAATCCTTCTTTTCATAACTGTTCACTTATCACACCACCCTTGCATGCTGCCACCACATCCACTTGAATGGCTTTACAACAATGTACTCCAGTCAAGCTGGAATGCAATAAGCTCATTAACATTATTAATATAATGCTAGCACACTGGGACAGCTATTAAGTTTTATTTTACATAACTCTGTTTTATCTAGGGAGCAGATACTCCATTTTACATTTAAAAAATGGTGTGTTAATAGTTAATAGTTAAAACAACGGCCAAACAGACAATTCTACTTTAGACTACAAAGTCTATTTGTAAAACAACACAGCTGAAAAACTGTCAATTATGTTTTAGAAAGGCATTCCAGTATACTTGTGATAGAAATGGGCTGGAAAGTTTCACAGTGGAAAATATCCATAAAAAACAACACGTTTGACAAGAACAATTTCACCACTCACATACCTGAATGCCATATAAGTCTATATCTTACCACTTTTCTGAAAGATTTAAAAAAATTGTTATGTTTGATAAAGTCATCATAACAACTATGTTTAATATTGCTACTTTTTAGTAACTAGAAATACACGAATTCTGAAGGTAACCTTAAATATTACTCGAGTTAATTAATTAAAATTAAAGGACATTGAATATAAAAACTATATACTTGGAAGAAAAATCCTAATCTAAAGGTGAAAATTCTACAAATGTCTCTGGCCTCTACCATGTATTGGTATACTTACAACAAACTTCTCTAATCCGGTTCCACCTGCGTTGCCCACGAAGATGCCTGAACTTGACTCAAACTGCAGCTGGTCAGTGGTTCTCTGGAAGGTGACACGGTGATAATCCTCGCAGTCCATGTACAGAGTGACCTCATTATCCTGCATGGTCAGTGTAAAGCGGCTCCACTTGTTGGTCATTCCAGGGACCTTGAAAGAGGCCACCTGACGGGACCGGGACGCACCGGGCTCAGTGTAGTACATTATAATCCTCTGCGTTTTGTCCTCCACTGGCGTCAGAGACAGGCCTAAGTGCACAATCTTTTGGAAGGCATCCGTGATAGCAAAGAGAACTCCTCCACGGTTAGTGGTTGGCTTTATGGTGACGATGATGGCAAAGTCCTTATAAAAGGGGTCTGGAATAAATGTTTTGGTAAGCCGGCCTATGTTAGCATTTGGGCCAAAACTGTAAGCTGGAAACCCTTCATATCCAGTAATGAAAGAGACAGAAGGAGGAAGAGGGACTCCAATTAAGGCGGTCAGATCAATGTGACCTTTTGATCCCCTTTCTGTAAAAAAAAAACACAGAACAAAAATTAAATGAATGCATTTACAGCAAGTCAACATCCATATCACCTTGCAGCTCTCAAGTGGCAGCCCACTGAAGCTAAGCAGAGTTGAGCCTGGCCAGTACCTGGATGTGAGACATCCTGGGAAGCTATGGGTGCTGCTGGAAGTGTTAGTGGGATCAGTGGGGGGCACCCACCCTGCAGTCTGTGTGGGTCCTAATGCCTCGGTATAGTGGTGGGGGCACTATAGTGTGGTGGGGGCACTATAGTGTAGTGGCACCGTCTTTTGGATGAGACATTAGGAACAGAGGTCCTGACTCTCTGTGGTTATTGAAGAGTAGGGAGTTATCCCGGTGTCCAGGCCAAATTTCCCCCCTCTGCCTTTACAAATTGTCCCCATGTTGGATTGGCTTGCACTGGCCCTGCGATGGACTGGCGTCCCGTCCAGGGTGCACCCTGCTTTGTGCTCGTCTCTTGCCAGGTAGGCTCTGGCATCCCGCAACACTGTATGGTATAAAGCGGCTTCGCAAATGACATGACATTTACAGCAAAAGGTGGTTTAGACAGTTTAGTTCATCTAATTCAATTGCTAGAAACAGAAAAGGGCACAAGCCTATTGCAACAAACCAGATAAGAGTTTTAACTTGTAATCAGTGATGGATTCAGAGCTGGAGAGACCAGCAGGACTGAGCTTGTCAACAGTCACAGACACATTGGCATCCTATGAAGAACAAAGGCAGGCAGAAAGGGCAACTATGAAGATACACAGGGCAACTTAGCATGTTACATTATGTTCCAGTTTGGCACAATATGATACATAGGATTCCTTTCCCAGTTTCCTTCCATGTACTGTAGCTTAATAACATAAAAAATGGTTACAATAGAAAGAAGGTCTTTTGGCTCATCTAGCCTATTTGATTGTTCATAGCTTATTGATCAAGGATCTCATCTAGCTGTTTCTTGATTGAAGCCAGGGTCTCTGCTTCAACAACATGACTGGACAGCTTGTTGCACCCTTTCACATTTTGCCTAAAGAAGTGCCTCCAGTTTTGTTTTAAATGCACCAATAGCTAGTAGTTAATATAACCTATAGTTTCCATCTGTGTTGAAGCTGTTTTCTACGTTTTCTACTTAAATTGGTTTCTATTTTTAAATTGTTCACATTGCCCACAATTCATCAAATCAATGAGAGAATACAGTAATTATTCAAAAGAACTTTAAAGTCCTTTTCCCGCTTGCACTGCGCTAACCACCCCCCTCTGCCCTTGCCAGACTCTGCACATGTTGCTCATTAACCTGAAAGACCCACTTACAATACAGTCAGTTGTTTTAGAAAAGGTACTACAATAAACAAGAGTCATCAGGGTTCCTATTAGCTCTGAATACAGCATGAAGAATGGCTGTACAACCTGTAAATTTAGTTATTGCAGTTTTCTGAATTGTTCTATTTCCACACCACAGCACAACAGTCATGTTTGGTTATTTGCATGTTTTAATAAAATGGCTGCCGTCGCATCATGCAGGTACAGTAGATGCTGCACATTGGTGGTGGTGGAGGAGAGTCCCCATTACCTGTAAAGCGCTTTAAGTGGAGTGTCCAGAAAAGCACTATACTGTATAAGTGTAAACAATTATTATTATTATTAATTATTATTCAAATTGTGCATTTATTACTTCTATAGTTTGAATCTGAGGAACTGAAGTGAGTGAATGGACAATTTTGAAAATTAACAAATTAAAAATGTTTTACTAGTTTAAAACAGTAACTTCTTACAAACGTAACTTTCCCTAACATGGGTTTCTTCTACTACAATGTGTAAAAATAGAACAGGTGGGTAGCTGCGTCAGCATGCGTAGGCTTCAAAGGACCAAGTAATACAGTAGGTTTATTTCATGCTGAAAAGAGAAGAAAGGAAACACAACGTTTCGGCTGTGGAGCCAAACGTTGTTTTCTTTCTTCTCTTTTCAGCATAGAACAGCTAAAAATGTCAAGGTTACTTTTGTCTGTAGTACTGCATATAGCATGGGATCCATTTATTTTTAATTTGTTGCAGGCATAATCTCTGGACTGACCGAAGCTCATTCTCTCTGTCACAAACTAGGGCTGTCAATGAAAAATTGAAAAATTCATTAAGTGAATAAACCTGAAAGTCCATGTTCATGCACACAACATAGGGTGTTATTAATCTGGATCATTAACAAGTAGTTTGATCTATTGTCTCACTGTATGTCCCAGGTTAGCCCTGCTTCTATACAGCATTTGAACAGTTTCAGTATTATTTAAAATATTAAATACCAGACAAAATCTTTTTTAAGACAGATACACCATAGATTGTATCTTTCAAGCTTTGCAGCTTGAAATGCAGAATGAAACTGTTAGTTCATTAAAAGGGAATAGCATAACATCTCATAATAGTCCAGAACAGGACTCTCCCAGGCTGGGATGACAATTTTATCAATGTGGAATGACGCTGCAAATAAAATATGTATTACTTTTTTGAATTATTTGCAATGATTATGTGGTTTTGTACTTTACCTAATTATTTCTTTTTTCCATCCATCTATTTTCTATCTGCTTTAAGCAATACAGGGTTGCAGGGGAGCCGGAGCCTAACCCAGCAAGCAACGGGCACAGGGCACATCCAGCATGTGATGCCATTCCATTGCAGGATTGCTTTTTCGTTTTGTCAGAATTATGAGAGCATCTTGATGTTAACTTGAGAAACTGAAAGAAGTACTATTTTATGTTTTGTAATGATCATGCGGTACAACAAAGTTTATGATGCATGAAAACCTGCCATCCAAAGAAGTTAATGCATTACTACTCAATAATAAGAGTCATAAATGTTCACTGAAGCAATTATATGCTTGGCTGAATCTTCCCAGTCAGAAACAATCAGGTAATCATAGACTACTGCATTTTTCAAAGATGGCTGTTGGGTTTTTAAATGTTGCTCCTGCTGGGATCATCTCATAATCCTATTACTTTCATAACATGTGACACAGATTTTCTTTGAATAGTTCATTTAATAACAGAGCGAAGTAATTTCTCAAGGAATGTCTCCCTCAGTATTATTTCTCCTTTGTGAGCTAACTTTCTAGTCCTGTGATCATGTCAAAGTATAAAAATAAAGTATTACAGTAAAATGAATAATTTAGCAGGCAGTTTGGAAGGAATTTTCATTTACAATTAACACATACTTAAGTCCCTAGATTTTTAGGAACTTCTTATGCTTTGATAATACTTTTTAATAAATAATAATAATGTAATAATAGAGAACTTAAAAGGTCAGAGATCATGAAACATTATAACCTGAATGCCTCTAGATCCAAACTTCAGTTTAGCATTTATAGAAGAGTTAATAATAAACATTTACTCTACACAAATCAATTAATCAATCTTCTCCAATCAATAACAGCATTGTTTGATACTGGAAATTGATACTGGAAAATAACATAATCAATTATCAAAATATCAATTCTAGCACCATTTAACACTCAGTCAACTTACCTATCTTCCATAATTTTAGAGGTCTTTTCTTTTTCCTGGAATTACCAGGTACATCTACAGTCTCTGAAGAAGCTGGGTTTTGGAAGCTGAGTGAGGGGGCAGTAGAAAAGCCTATAGGTATTGTCTGTGCAATCTCACTGTCAGCCTCATTGCTTCCTGCCCCTGTCACATAATTGGAAACTTTGCTTTCATCATTATCAGTCACTATTCCATAAACATTCAAAGGGGCTGATGTTGCCTCCTGACTGCTCCAGAAGTGGGGCCACCACCACTGCCCATAAACCGGACTACAGAGGATCAGAAAGTTACAAAACAAAAGTATTTTGGGCTCCATTGTTATGAGGAACCCAAAGCCTATGTACCCAGGGCAGTATTCGCCACAACGCCTGGTTTCTTCTCATGCTCTGAGGTCTGTGCTTGCCATCAGCAGTGATTTTCCTTCTGCTGGGAAAACTGGAATGGTAATAAGAAGATCAACTCCAGATTTTCAGCATGAAACAGATTTCGGTATTTAAAAGAGCAGCTGAATAGCTGGCTCACAACACAAGAGTTTCCAGCAAAATGGTTTTGTTAGCTAAATGCACTGTTGGCAGTCTGCTCCCCCTACCAATCCCCCTCTCCCACTGCACCCCCCTTTATTATGCAAATTAAAGGCATTTTAGGCACTAGAAGGAATTGCTTAATTTAGACCAACCACGAGATTTGCTTACCAAAAAGGCAGTCTATATCAAACAAAGAAACACACTTTAAAGAGCACTTTTTGACTTCAGCTTTGGTGTTTCCTCCTCCTGATATAGAATGTTTTTGCTTATAAATGGCTACGGGATGAATAAAACTAAAAATAGATTATTTTGTCAGTTTAGAAAAAATGTTTCACAAACTTTCTTACAGTACAGAAACTACATAATCACTTTGCTGCTTAAACACAACACAGGCACCCAGCCACTGACCTACAAAAGTCCTATTGTCCATTGATGTCTTTTGCAATCCATACAGTGCAGAGAAAAGCTTGTTAACCCATTAAGAATTTCACAAATTTCACATATTTGAACCGTAATGTACTGTTAAATCCTCATAATAGATGATGAAACAAATTACATAAAATATGATACTCTTTCGACATGTATTTACCCTCAAATGATACAACATTCAAAATTATTTTACCTTTCCCTCAACAATATTCTTAAAACTATTTATTTGTTCGTACTGCATTTATTAGCCTCCCACGTTTGAAAGAAAACCTGTTTATTTTGGATCTGTACATGTGTGACAAACCATATGAACCTTTATATTCATTAACTCATGGCATTCCCTTGAGCAGCAATGACTGCAACTAATCAATGCTAAGCAATGACTGCCAGAAAATGCCCGGTTTCGAATTCTGGTCGCTGCTAAGGGACAATCTTTTTCCAATTAAGAATTTAAGTTGTATACTCTTTGGACTTTTAGTAATTTTAGTAATTTTAAACTGTGTGTTTAAAAAACGTCTATTGTCCTTGTAGTGGTAATGGACAAATCACTGTACCCAATGGTCCAAAGCGCAATCAGAGTATTACTTTCGGTTTGTTTCTTATATAGTGAATACATAAAAATAGTCCACTATTATAGCTTGTTGTTGGCTCTGGCATGAATTTCTGTATCTGGATAAATTAAGGGATTGTATTGTGATTAAGGATTTCTTCGCATTAAGTTAACAAAGGAGGGAAGAAGGGTTATTTTTACAAGTGGCACTCCGAGATTCTGACTGATTTAATTCCCCTCATTTAGTTGAAACGGATAAAGAAATCATGCAGTAGTTATTGTATTGGAAGTATTGGAAGGCGCTCTGTTTTATTAACAGACACTCCGACTCAAACCTGTGTTGTAGTGATATAGACGTGGGTAATGTCATCTCCATTAAACCATGTGCTTATCGCGCAAATCTAAAATAAAAATGTAAAGTTCTCTAAAGCTTTCTCAGTCAAGTACGATAATTCACCTAAGGAGCTGTGTAAGCATGCACAGGCAGCAAAAGATCAGCTAACGAGGGAAGAAAACAATGTTTCAGGTGTGAGGAATACAGATCACCAATTCAATTGCAGCCTAAACCTTTCCCCACACACCCTGCCACCACTGCGATTAGAATATACACAAACAAAGCACTGAAAGCTTTACAGTAGATGATCAGGTGTTTTGCACACAAAGGGATAGTATGTAATTCATGCTTTATGAACTCACACCTGGGATTTGATTAATTCAAAATAAGTTTTAAAAAAAAACTGCACCAGGTACTAGATCTTGTTTATATTAAAGTATTAAAGTTATATCACTGGACAGTGGTGGACAGCGTGCTATTTTGTCAGCAACCTGCTAATCTGCTTAATACCTGTAGAAAAAATGATTTTATTTCTGTACGGAATGCATGCTGAGTTTACAAAATTAAAGTGTTTCAAATGTTTAGTTAAGATGTAAAAAGAACTTACAGCTTACACAATGACTCAAAGACACTACGTGCATAAAAAGTGTTTTTAACTGATTTATATAGTCTTTTCATGTTGATTTAAGTGTCCTTCTTTCAGCTGGATTGCATGATTATTGTTATGATTTCTCAATAAATTTGAACCCATCAACTCGTTCAGTTGTGCTTATTTTGGAAATCTTTTGATAATATGTTCCTTTTAACTCGGAGTTTGTAACGTCGGGCACTCTGAACGAGTTAAGCTTTGATGCAGGACAAATAGATGTATTTCCCACAGGTTATACTGTAGTGCATCTGAGGGCAAACTACGGCCTGTTTTGACCAAGCCTTGAGGTCAAAAATAAATTAATCAATATTGGGCATATTCCACTTTGTTTGATGGCGTTTTTTTCTTACATTTCATTATTCATGCTGTTAGATGGCGCATGAACGTTTTACCACAGTGACTTCAAACTGTGCATTGCGTCACCTAGGGGAGGCACTATTGTTGGTCAGGGGTGTTGCAGGTATCGCCAGTCAAAAACCCACTGTTGGTGCACACAGAATGTATGAGTCACGCGCTACCTAGCTAGATTGTGTCACATGACACTGGCCACAAGAGTCAGCAGTCTGTAAGCAGTGTACCAGTTTACTGTGGCTTCAGTGTTTCATGTTTCTATGCGTGGTCATTTTGTGAGTTTTTTGGTACGTGATTGAAGTTGAGAGGTTTTTAAATGTGAGTAAAAAACGTGAAGGACATGGAGACTAGTTGTAGAGAAACGGAAACGCAAATACAGAAAGTTTGACGACAGTTTCTTGAATTTCAGTTTCACATGCACAATTGTAGACACTGAAGAATGTCCTCAGTGTGTTGTCTGCTGAGAGCATGCTCCCCAATAAATTGAAACGTCATTTGGAAACTGTTCATAGTAGTTTGATAAGTAACCCTCCTGATATTTTTCACTCAAGTTTAATGAATGAACAAAAAGCTGCCTTTTCTAACCAAACTACAGTCCCCAGCAAAGTTCTTTTTTTCATCATACAAAGTTGTATACTGAGTAGCACAATGCAGAAAACCTCATACTATTGGTATAATGGTATATTGGTACAGGGCAGAGCGGTGGCTAAGGATCTGTGCCTGTGACTGAAAGGTTGCTGGTTCAAATCCTGCAGCTGGCAGAGGAATCCTACTCTGTTGGGCCCCTGAGCAAGGCCTTTAACCCCAACTACTCCAGGGGTGCTGTACAATGGCTGACCCTGTGCTCTGACCCCAAGCTTCTCTCCCTGTCTGTGTCTCAGGGAGAGCAAGCTAGGGTATGTGAAAAGATAAATTCCTAATGTAAGAAGTTGTATAGGGCTAACAAAAGAACATTATTATTATTATTATTATTATTGGAGTACCAAGGAATAAGCAACAGGACTCTGTGAATTCTGCTTCGCTTTGCAATATCCTGCCTTTGTGTGGCTGGATTTTCAGCACTTGTGGTTATCAAAACCAAGTTCAGATCAAGAGTCAATGTTAAGAAGATGCACGTTGCCATTTCAAAAATACTACCCAGTAATTTTGAATTATGTTACTCAGGTGAATTATGTTACCATAATTTATTAAACAAGCCCACCTACCCATTAAGAGGCACAAAGAAATACATTGTATTTCTCCCCCTTTTTAAAAAAACATTGGGTAGATTTTTACATTCTTTGCAAATAACTTCAATAAAATATGTTGTCAAGTATTTTTACTACTTTGATCAACCCTATTGGTTTTGAAAATGATTAAAAAAATATATAAATTGGATCAACTTTTTTTTGACCTATCATTTCCTTTTCAATGTATAATCTTTTGTAAAATATCCCACTGCCATAGAACTTATTTTTGACACAGGGGAGGCATGTGGAAAATTTGACAGGTCAAGGGAGGCACAGACTCAAAACGTTTGGGAACCCCTACTTTATTAATTTGATTCACCAGTCAGAGTGGGTCCATCGTACTGTGAGGGAATCGGCGTCAAAATGAGCGGATTGAAGACGCAGAAAGTTGACAGCAAATGCAGAGTGTCCAACAAAGAATGGACTGCAAAATACTTTTTCACAGAGGTTGGAACAAAGGCAATGTTTAATTTGTAAGGAAAGTGTTGCAGTGTTCAAAGAATACAATCTCAGTTGGCATTTTTCTACCAAACATGCCAACTATGCTACTAGTAATCTGTCATGCGAGGAGTGGGCTAATAGAGCTTCCCAACTAGCTGCTAGTTTACAGGCTCTGCAAAATGTACAGGTATTTTTCCACTGTTCTACTACCCAAGAGGCCAGCACAAAGGCAAGCTACCTGCCTGCATATAAAATTGCTAAATAAAGCAAGCCGCTCTCTGAAGGGGAGCTTTTAAAGGAGTGTATGATAGTATTGTGTCCAACAAAGGAGACACAATCCGGGTGTGCATGGAGCAGGCACTTCCTTCATTATGTATGCATACAGGAGCCAAAGCCGATGAAGCACTGACTCAACTTACTGATACAAAAGGACGTTTTTTATACAACAGTTTCAGTAGAATTCCATGCCATATATGGTGTAAAGCCAAGGCTGCTAGCCTTGGTACATAATTAGCTGTAAGAATTGTAAGAATATTCTTGGGCTTCTTTAATTATTATTTAAGCAGACATTATGTACTTCTAGATTTTGTTAATCATGGCTTAAGCAGATATCAGGCACTCTCAGTTCTGGTCAGGCTGCCCAAAGGTGGCTCTGCCCTCACGTTCAAGGTGCGTAGCCAGCTCACACTTAAGTTGCACTTGGTAATTTTACATTATTCTAGCAGGATAGTTAGTAAATTATTTATACAGTAAAAGCAAACTAGTGAAATAAGGGAAATAAATGTTTGATCCGTCAATAGAAACCGTGGATATTCATTGTCCAGAGAGCAAGAACAAATTTGAGAAATAAAGTTTATCAAGCAGAACAGTTGAGGTAATCGGTGAAGACTTGGCTTGTGAGTTGAACGTCAAGTTTTATTCAATTTTTATTTTTTTTTAAATATTTTTTTTCTCTCAGGTTATTGCTAACCTTGATCTAATAAGCCTATGTTGGATTCTAAACTTATATAAGGCATAGGCTATCT